CGGGGGACAGCTAACGCGGCAGACTATCGGCTTGTGAGAATAGAATAAATAAGGGTTTTCTAGACACTTGATGATATCAAGACATGCTAAGTCAATGAAGGAATGATCGCAAGAGAGGATCTGGGAGCTTCGGGTCCAGGAAAGTTGGTGCCCCTTAGTAAGGGCACTCATGATTCCCCCATAACTGACGGCGCGACATCAGATTCGTGATGCTTCGTTGCCTTAACGCATGGTTGAATACCAGGGTTCTTACATATAGTTGAGCTCAGATCGTTCTGACGTCCAGATGATATAGCATACAGAAAGTTTGGCGGCAAGACGAGAAAGAGGATAATCACCTGGGTCGGGATGATTGACTGAGGCGTGGCGGACCGTGGTTTTACTAAAAGTTGCAATAAAACGATAACAGGCCTTCGAGAAGACAGCCAGATGGCTTCTCAAGCTCCCGTACCAACGTTCAGCCCACGTTTACAGACTCACTAGTATTTTTGGCTTATGATATGATTTCCCAAGAAAACATGGTTGCAGAGTCACAGTCATTCGCAAAATAAGATTATTCGCATGCAAATCTCCATCAAAATAAACGCTGACGATAGTCTTCAACTGAATGCACAGCGCGAAAGTCGTCTCATTCTCCATCTGGGACAAAAGCGGACTATCTCTCCTGATATAGCACTACCCCTACAATTTCGCAAGCCACCATCAACACAAGCGTTAAAATCCACGTACTTCTCGTACTGCGGTTATAGCTGCCAAGCTTCGTCCGCTGATGATCACGGGAGGTGGGGTAGATAGCTATGCATAGGAGTCGGAGGGTGTCAGTAGATTTCATTGAGGAGATCGGGATAGGGAACCATGCATTGAACGCAGCAGCTTAGATGCATGCGCTCCATTGAGCGTGCAACTGGGTCATTTTTGACAATGTCTCCCAACATTGATGTGCCAGGTCTCGAGGTTACCATCCAAGGAGACCAATGACCAGCGCAGCTGAGTTCGCTAGTAATGGCTTTAAAAGTTCATTGCCAAGTCACTGCCTGAGCTCCCTTGGCTCGTTTACACCGCCTCACTTGGTTGTGCAAAAAGGGCTCTTCGTAGAAGTCGGTCGACTAGTATACAGAGTACGCGACCACATCAGCACACCCTATGGAAGAGAGCGAGGGGGCAGTCAGTTCAACCACAATATTCCAGTCCTGGATAATGCATACATTATTGTAGAGGGAATCCAACGGGTGAGCAGGAGTCACTCGTTGTCCTGCTCACTCCAGTGGGCGCACACCGGCTTCCAGGGTTTGAAAATAGACTTTGAAGTATTCATGGTCGTTACTGAAGTCAGACACACAAGCTGTAGCCGTTTTTGGTGAATGGTGAGAAAAGCGGTCAGTCCTAGTGCTGGGGTCTGTGGAGAGAATATTCAAATTGAAGTGGGGAAGGAGAGAAGAGGGAATTCGTAAAATGTGGTATTGGAGGTGTTTGAGGCCTTAGAGACTAGGAGTGAGCCTTCCATGATCAGGTCAATGACGAAGTTGAATAGGAAATGTGAGAGGGAACAGCTTTGCCTAACATTAGTTGGTATAATAAACTCAGGTGAGAGCTGCAAGGAAACCTTAACACGTGTGCTGGAGTTGGCGTACAGCGCCTTAAGGAGGGAAGAGAATTCATGGGGGACACTTCTGTTCCACAGATAATGGCGTAGAGCATGACGGTTAGGAGTTAAAGGCAACTTTCAAGTCAAGGAAAACCGCCCTGTTGGTTGTCGAAAGCAGTTTCACTGTTCCGTTATCTGTTGGAGGGTGAGATAGCGCCAATTTACGGATCGAAAGGTTCGTGGTCGAACCCAACATCAGCACCTCGACTACTCCTGTTTAGGCTTGGGCAACCTGGCAATATCCCGGCCCACGTACCTCCTTGCGTTGGCATGGCAGTTAGGCACCGAAAGGGTACTACAACCGAAGCTCATTTATGTTTTTATTTTTTATATAGTGAAAATGTGATCGACGCATTGTCTCAGCTTGGTTCCAATGGATATGCTCCTCCTCGTGTTCAGTAGACCTTCGAAGGATAAGACCACCGAGCACATACGATGCCACGGTGGTTGCCACAGTGTTCGCGTATCCTTTTTGAATACAGGAGCAACTGTGGACGTACCCCGTTCCGCAAGCGCTTTCTCTTCACTCCATATAGCACCAGTGAGATTTGTCACATACGTAACCAGTTGTACCTCAGCTTTAAAGAGAGCTGGATGCAGAGCATCCGGTTCAGTTGTCTTTACGCGTTTCCGTAAATATATTTCGCACATCACTTCTCCTTCTTACGGGTGATCAAGGTTTGCATTCCATTCACCAACGTACACCGTCTCGAGGGATTCTCTGGCATTATTTTGAGCAGGTGGATGAATTACCGGGAGACATATTCCTAGGAAACAAGCTGGGTTTTGCCCTGCTCGAGGATGCATCGACCATATACCTACCTTGATGCAAGTTTCTGAACAGCGCCACTCGTTCAAATGTCCCAAAATGGTCGTTTTTCTTGATCTGAAAACTGCTTTTAACTCTGACGATCGTCAGAAACTTTGGCGGTATCTGGCGACCGCAGGACTCCCTTATGAGGGCTCTGTTTGAAAACTCCTCCGGGCGCATACGAGTAAACAGGAAGCTTCACCTAAGTTCACCACATCCAGTGGTGTAGAACAAGACTGGCTTTTCCCGCCCTTCCTCATTGACTTCGTTATTGACGTGCTGCTTGAAATTTTTCTGCCTGTCTATGAAATTTCGGGAGTCAAAATTCTCCCGGGACGTTCGCCCATAGAAATTGAGTATGTAAACGAAATTGCTCTTCTGGCTTCGGATCCTTCAAAAAGGTAAACCATCTTAAATAACCTAAATAACTCTATCGCATAGTTTGGCATGCGCTTCACACCTGCAAAGTGTAGAGTGTTGCTGCGAGATTCGGTTGGATCAAACCTAATTCTCATGCTTGCAGGCGAGCCAATCCATGTGGTGGTTGAATCTGTTTACCGGGGCAGTTGTATAAGTTGCGGTGGACTGGCTGGAGGTGAGATTACTTCCCCAATCGAGAAGGCTTTGGCACACCTCCCACACCCATGACGCCACCGTGACGTTAGCTTGTGTGTCAAGGGCAGAGTTTGCACTGCGATAGTACGATCCATCGGAGATGTGGCCTCTAAATGCAGAAGACATATGAAAAATGCCAGTGTTTGATCATCTCCGAAGCATCGGTTGGGTCTGGTGGGATCGTCGGATCAGTAATGCTGAGGTACACCAGGTGGTCCTGGGAAAAAACTCTCCCGCGATAAATGAATTACTCACGTTCCATCGGTTACGCTGGTTAGAACATGTACTCCACATGCTAGAAAATCGTCTGGTTCACAGAGCTCCTTTCGCCCAATCACATGCTCAGTGAAAGCGACTAGGAGGTGGACAGTGTATGACCTGCCAACGAAGTATGAAAACACTAACCACTAAACTTAGTCGGGTCGACAACTGCCGCTTTCCTGGATGGGGACACCGAGACTCAACTTACCAAGCTGTCAGAACCGATCCGATCGCGCAGTCAGTGGCGCGCTTGCATCAAAGCTATCACCTTCAATGTGCAGCTACCCAGTTCACGAACTAGCTGAAAATGCTATCGCCTCTAAGACTTGGCTGTATGTCCCACACCCTCCCCATTTCCGGTGATCGAAACTATAGCAGCTGGAGTCAATGTAAAAAAAACGAAGGAATTACGAAAGCTGGGGTTGCACAAGCACAGACAGAAGCAGTCGAGATGCTGATGTTGGGTTCGAAATACGAGCCTTCTGGTCACTAAGTTCGCACTCCAACCACTGAGTTACCTCCCATAAGGAATGGAATTCTTGAATTGTGGCTCTGCATCAGTGGTTGATGGTCATGTGATTCAACTAGGTTCATGGTTAGTTTGCACTTGGTGGCGAGCAGATTACGCGGTGCGAACTTTTATGTTGAAAATTCGTGCTGCCTAGAAGCAGCTGATGATAAGCACGCAACTGGAGGAAACGCTTTCCGAATCGACCGCCCAGAAGTGATTCAGAGGGGAACAGATGGCTGACTCAGGCATTCGTATCACCCACAAGGATGAAAATGTTGGTGTTTCTTGCTTGGCGAATAAACCACGATAAATCTCAATAGAAAATATCCTCCTCGGTGTCGAGATTGCAGTTCGTTGAAGCATATGCCGATACTGAAACTGGAACTGCTGAGCTATAGCACCCTTTCGTGCACAGCTGTCAGGGCACCAGGAGGAAGCACGAGGGTTGAGATACTGCCAGGTTGTCCAAGTCTAGAGAGGAGCAGTCGAAATGCAGAGGTTGGGTTCGAACAAAGGAGCTTTCGGTCAGTAAGCTCGTGCCTTAGTCACTAAGCTATGATGACACTACAAACAGGCAACGAGTATATCGAGTATCATTTGTCTGGAATGAGCTGGATGACGGAACGGCGCAGACAGCTGTTTACTGAAATCCAATTCAGTAAAGCTAACATACCTCTAGGGCTGAGTGCAACTCCCATACCATATATTCTGTGAGTAATCGGCTATGGATCACCAGACACAAGGACAGTGAAAGGGCTGAGTTCGTTCCTGGCGTTTCAAGGGGCATGACAACGCTTGAGTTCTGTATGTGCATTTAAGAGGCACAGCATACAGCAGTTTCAGTGGAATAAGGTCTGGGAAAACATTGCTTGTAGTGGTGTAGCAAGGAAGTTATCTGGTTATCTGTGCTACTGTAGGCAGTCGTGATCTACAGTGCATAGTTGTCATGTTAGAAAACAATTAACAAACCATGAGAATCCATATAATCCAGTATCGGTGCGACAGATATGGCAGACGGATTAAAAAAAGGTAGGTGAGAGCAGACAAAATATTTCTCCAAATGAATAGGTTGATTTACTAGAGATAGATTGGAGAGCATAGCGCCCCAATGCCAAAATACAAGTAACGTAGGGAATGAAACGACGATATATACTTACACTCTCCGTCATTGTGGCAGAGAAAAGAAGTGTCTGCCTCTGTCTCCCGCAGTGTTTGACAATTTCGCTGATCTGTTCAACGAAGTATTCATCTAAGAGTCTGATATTGTGCGAAGGGTATGACTCCCTGAAAATAACTCAACTTACTTGTCTGCCTCGTCCAGAACCAAGTATTCTATCTGTTGTAGGTTGAAGTTTGGTGCATTCGATAAGTGATCGATTAACCGGCCTGGAGTAGCTATAACAAGGTCTGGATTCAACCTGAGCGAAGCTTCTTGTGTGTGTAAATCAAGGCCACCTGGAAAATGGGAGTAAATGGAGGTCAAAACATACCTGCTGCCAGCTGAATTCGGATCTTGGGACAATAGCTGACCAGTTTTTCGGCTACTCTGAATATCTGCACAGCCAATTCTCTGGTCGGACTGATTACCAAAGCGCGGGTTATGGAACGCGTGCCAGAAGGCTTTTTGGTTAATCGCTCTAGGATAGGGAGAAGAAAAGCAAACGTCTTGCCCGAACCAGTTCGGGCGCATGCGCATATATCATGATTAAGCAGGGCGACTGGAATGCACGCACACTGAATGGGCATTGGCTTTTCCATTGACATTTCAGTCAAGGCCTACACTGACGACGTTGACGACCAACTTGACAATAACGCACCTTCAGCAAAGGTTTTGCCAATTTGAGTTCCATAAACGAGGACACTTCACGATACTTGTCGACCGCGTGATTGAACACATACTTGTCGGCCTAAAAAGTAATGCACGTTGGGCAGCAACAAATTACATCAGGTTTCGTTTTGACATGACCAATCTTCTTCTCTCGCACAACATCTGTAGATAGAGCACCAAGATAGATGTGTAACGAGTTACCAGTGAATCGAGTTCTTCGATCGCGTTCATCTCGAATCCTTGGAACCACGGGCTTCAAAGATTCAAAATCCACGTCCAGACTTGCTCCCTTCTCAGTGCGATACTTTTCAATTAGAGTGTCAACCAACTGTCGATTACAGGCAACGGTGGCTGAGAGCTCTGACTCAGTACAGAGAGCAGTTGTTGCCACCTTGATTAGGTTGGAAACGAATTAAGGAAATTACGTACCGCGTCCTCGAATGAAAAACTGGGATCAAACATTCTGCAGCCGCATTCACTTCATTAGTTATGAATTGCTAGAGGAGGAAAACATATACTGTCATGAAGAGACATAGAAAACGAAATTTGCGTGGTGGGCAATCTACTGTTGTTGTCCACTCTGATGCACCATCATAATGGTCAACTGTCACAAACAATTTCATCACCACCATCATTACCAAGACCTTCAAAAACAACATAAATGTCCAACATCGGTATCTCACTGGTGCGAGGCCCACCATTAGTCATTGGGAAAAAAATTAAGACGGACAAATGGCTGTACTCCGACGGTGGCTAGTAAAACCTTGACCCGTGGGCTTCAATCGGGATTTCGACCGAATAGAGGATGCGTCAACCAAAAAATCTCACTCCACCAGATGGTATAGCAACGTCATATGTACAGACAACCCACAAACCTAGTGCTCCTTGACTTGGAAAGTGCGTTCGAATTTGTCGATCGGTCAGTGCTTCTTATCACATTTGCTCAACATGGGAAGTCTCAGAAGCTCGTGACAATAGGCCAGCCCTTGTGTTCACATAATTCCGGGCGTGTGAGAGTATGATGAGCTCTCCAAAGGCTTACCTATCAAAAGTAGTCAGATAAAAACGTCCACCCTTTCCATCCTTGTTTAACTTCACCATTGATGAAATAGTGGGTCGAACGCTGGATGGTCCACGGAACCCCGTATTGTACACTTGCTTTGTTACCTCAAATCGTTTGAATGTTCATTGCTAAATCACTTTTTCCCGTTTCAGCTTGCAGTCGCAGAGTTTTGGATTAATGAAGCCTAGCTTCTGGGCCCTCAGCCTATTACGTTCTTAACATAATTGTCGCTGCACTCCACCCCTCATTAAAACAGAACAATTTATTCACCAAGCAATGTATTGATTCTCATGTCTTGAACGGTTCATGTTTCACCTGTGGCTATGCTCGTCATCCGCATTATAAATGCAGATTTACTACTGGTCTGAGGAACATGTCATCCGTTTCAAGTGCACTATCTTGCATCGGTGCTGTGTACCCCGTGTCTCAAAGAAGCAGTCATTGATGTGAGAGTCAGTGGCGCTTGACTTCGAGCTTTTCTTGGTGCTGGTTTGAGGAGGAAAGCTCTTTGCCGCGAACACCAACTAGGCAGTTACAAACTGTTGGACAGGAAAGTAAACATCTCATATGCAGCGTTTTTTTTAACTGAACATCCTCACACGTCTTGAACTTTCGTGGATATTCATTGAGTATCATGCAATTGTAAATGAACGCTGCAAAGCAGTTCTGCAAGTTCCGTAATAAACCCCACCTTCCATTAAACGCGAGGTGAGGTTATAAGAAAACGACATACCACTCGCATGCCACACCATTAGTATCCGCCGTTAAGCTGGTATTTCACAAAGTTCCATTTCCGAAAACGTAGTCCGTCATATTTAGTGGATTGTAGTACCGTCATCATCTGAGATCACCCTAGTATCCATCTAGCACAAAAGCTTCACCATCGGACACTGTTTTTTAACATTGAAACATAAAATTAGCAAGCGTCCCTCTTTCAAGTTTTCAGTATTACGTTACATCTGTTCGACATTCTACTGAGACATGATTTTCTTAAGCTTCACAAATCCCTGAAAATATGTACTGACGGTCTTAGGCGAGTATTCCCGCCTCTCGTTCACCTATCCGTGTCCAGATATAACTTTTTTCAACAGTGATTTCAGGTCATATGCCACTCTTCGCTACATTTGACCTGTTTGGCTTCGTGCATTCGGATCGCGGTTCATCATTTATTTCACATGAGACTAGGCGATTTCTTCGTGCAAAAAGGCGTTGTCACCGGTTGGAGAACTTCATACAACTCAAGGGGGAACGGTCAAATAGAACGATTAAATGGAACTTTGTGGAAATCTATTACGGTTTCAACACGAGCAAAAGGTCTTCATATCTGTCGTTGGGAAACTGTCTTACAAGAGGCGCTTCATTCGATCCGTTCTTTTTTGTGCACCGCCACCAGAGCCGCTCCACGCGAGCGAATGTTTAATCATAATCGAAAATCCGCGATCGGTACATCATTCCCACAGTGGTTGCTTTCGCCAGGATCAGTTTTGATGTGACGCAGTAGTCGGAGAGGTTCAGCTCCTAGAGTGTAACTCTTAGTACGCATATGTCCGACACCATAATATCATGGAAGAAACGATCTCCATACATCACCTAGCATCCTACACAGATTTTGAATGCGCTTCAGCCTACGAACATCAGCACTCTCATCCTGATACTGGAATGTCGAATTGTTTTGAACACCCATTGGTTGTACAACAGCGGAAGTCGACAGGTGGAAGTCAGGTTCAAACCACGGACCTTTCTGTTAGTAAATTCGCGCTCTAACCACTTGGACCATCTCGCGTTTCATTATTCCTTGCTGAATCAGTTCTCGTTTCAGCTCACAGCATCAAACTTTTGGATTGATCAGGCCTAGCTTCTGGGCCCTGTCCGGAGGCCAGTCGTCCCTAGTAACCGGACATCGCATCATTTAGACGGATGTGCCACGTGCAGGATACGGACTAAACGAAGGCATTCCCTCATTAGTCAGGATGCCAGCCAATCTCGATCAGGCATCTTTGACCCGACCCTTCTCACCTCCTCACGGAGATTCTAGCACGACCCTGAGGAACATTCGGTCATTGCTCTATAAACTCGGTCGTAATAATTCTCCCTTGTCTCCATACAGGGCTGTCTGAAGCTACCGCGCCCTTTGATATACCATAGTGGGCGGAGCATGAAGCCAAGAGACCGATACAGAGTTGCACGACCGTTCAGCAAGAAATAACAACTGGCGGCGACCCGAACCACGATATCAATCGCGGCAGAGCAACTCCAACTAATTTTACAGCCCTAACCGGGTCTACATCGATCATATAGCCACTTAACAAATGCTGGAAATACACCACTGCTTTTAGCGACCAGTGATGACCTTTTCCAATCAGAAAGATGTTTTTGACTCCGCTGACCGTCAGAAGCTATGGCAATCACAGACAGTCCTTTATATGCCTCCTTCTGTTGTCAACCGTATCATTAAGGCAAACTATCTCCTGATTTCACCAAATTACGCGCCCTCTGTATCCCTTTAGTTGCCTCAAGCACCTCTGGGATGTTCGCTTGCAGAAATCGAGTACATTGACAGTATCTCTCCTCGGGGCCTCTCTAGAAAAAGAAACCATTTTAAATAACGTAAATAATTTTGCTACACGGTTCGGCATGCGTTTTACCATCCGGAAAGTGTGAAGTGCTACTGCGAGACCAATTCCAAACCTCATACACACGTAAGTCCCAGCGGACTCAAAGTCATTTCTCGGATAAGGAAGGCCGGGACGGTGTTTGTCAATCACCGACATTTAGGGCGCCCAAATAACATTGTTTTAGCTATAAAGGGTAGATTGTACGATGCTGTGGGTTGATCTATCCTATCTTACGGATTCGATACGTGTCACCTGCCCACAAAAGCCTCTTGAAGATCGTCTTACCCGTAGGACTTCGGGACGAGACAAACCAATGGTTAGTTACGGGTATGTCATGCAGCCACTGGCGATCCTTCATCAAAGCCATTGACTCCACTGCTTTCTTACATCCCGGATAAACTAATAATCAACATCAATGAATGGGCCGGTAAACCGCTTCTAACACGTGACTCTCATTCTCTTATTCTCCTCTTCCTTGGTGAAGGGAAGCGTAGCAGTCAAAAGCACTGCACTTCCGTACGCGGCCTGTAGCTGAAAGGCTAACTGACAATGTTGAATCAGCGACTCCCGAGACAGAGTACTCGATGAACCTGGCCGCCTGTCACAGTGCTTCAGAGTCAGTTTTCGAAGAATGTGGGGTTAGTCGGGTGTTTAACCCAATTGGCGGGCGAAGTAAGCACATCAATTGCTGCGTAATCACAACCATTAACTACCACCCCCATGTGGTGGTTTCGTTTGAGTGTTGCAATGATTCTTCAGGTTAAACTGGCTACAGCTTCCTTCCTCAAGGTTCACCTATGCGAGGAAGGCCGAAACGGAGTTACCAGACAAAAAAGGGGCGACTCCTCGTGCCACAAGCGATCGTAATACGAGGTGGACTTAGGATCAGTCGTACTGTACTCTGATATTGGAGTGTGAAGGTAGTAATGTGACCCACATGACCACGTTTACGGAATCAGCAATGCTGCCTGGTAGGACAGGTCTATCATGTTGTTGCGCAGCTTTCAGACACCTATGTTCACAAGTATTAGTTCCTCGATTTGAGCAATACTGGTGAGTTCGTAAATGAGACTATGACTGCCGGAGGTGGGAGGTAAACTGCGTTGCAACCCTGTTGGCCCTCCGACCATAACAGAGTATTATAGTATGCACGCTATAAAAGCATGAGGGGGCAGTGGCTTTCAGAAGGTAGGTGTTATGACAAGTTCTGCGGTCGAAAAACAACCCAGTAACCAAGGTTGTATATCCCCAACACCTATACATGAATCACCCAAAATGGAAGACATTGCATACAACACTGGTCCCCGGTGTATCATGGACTACATGAACCGGCCGACGCTCAAGTTGTGGGGCTAGTGAGCGAGTGCATAGGTTACCGTGTCTAGGGGTGCGCCGGCCCTGTGAGATTGGGCAACGTTTGAGCATGAGCGCACGAGTGTAGAGCCACGGAGTGTAGTAGAACTACTAATGTGGGGTAACTACCCAGGCACAGTCGTGGACTGACGGATTGACGATTTCGCCCAATTTTCCCGGGTCGGGGTTTTACTTGTCGTTCAGCAGCTTCCGTTCACCTGAAAGCCACGAGCGAAAAAGGGTGTAGCGCTGATCTTTAAGATGGCTCAAGTGGTTAGAGCGTGAATTTACTGACCGGAAGGCCCTGGTTCAAAACCGACTTCTGCCTCTCGACTTTCCCTGTCTAGGCTTTGGCAACCTGGCAGTAACCCAGCTCTCGCGCATGGCAGCTAGTCACCAAAAGGGCGTTACAGCTGAACGATCTTTAAATT